TCTCCTAAACTGACTCCCCGTTGAGTTGTATAAATGCCTCTAACTCATTCTCCTTGAATAATCTTTCTAAAATGGAAGGCCCAATCACGTTTCTCCCTCTGCCTGTAAGTTAAAGGCTGAGCTTCCAGGTCTGGCTTCGGCTGTTTACCATGTATTTTATTATCTACAAATCCTTGTTCTATTGTTTTTCTTCCTAATCTCCTTTTCTCCTAATAAAAACACAAGAAAACAAAATCAAAATCTTGATGTTTTACACTTCTGTGTATTGTACATGATGTTCCCCCTTTTTGAAATGCCCTCTGTATCACTACCCCCCCAAAGCCCCCCTGAAAATTTCCTCCATACTTTCTTGGGGCATTCATTATATACATCCCATCCCATCTCAGGTATAAAATTCCAGTTCAAAAATTGAAGTGCAACAAAGTAATATAATTTTATTTCACCTAGATTTTTAAAATTTGGATTTCCAGTCTATGAGTTGGGGAATACCAATAAGTTCATGATGCTCTCCTCTTGCCCCTGGGTTGTGGTTAAATTCTGGGGGAGCCTTCACAGTACTTAAATTTTGGAGAAGATGTAGGCACCCGCTTCTCATACCTTCAGATTTTGGGGTTCTCTTCTAAGTATTTGTTTTGCTTGTAGATATATGATTTTGCTTTTTATGGGGCCACGCTGGAGCTTGAGAATCTTTCTACAGCTTCCCCATACCACAGAATTATTCCCTCTCTGGCATCTTGCGACCTACCCCAGATTACCTGGCATGCAGATACAAGGTCCTTACATACAGCCAGGGTTATTCCCTTTCTTTTACTTTTGTTAATATTTTACTTCTGAAACATTTCCTGTCTTGTGAAATTTTTGCCTCAGAGGCATCTAATACATTTACTTAACGGGTTGAGACTTTTAATGGACTTAAGTGACATACTAGTAAAAGCTAAAGACTTTCAAATTCTTTCAGCTAAGTTCTTTCCCATCCCTACCCTTAAGGGAGGGTAGAAAATGGTCAGTAGCTCCTAAATCTAATAGCTCATTGGATGCACCTGAGGGCGCTTTTTAACTTGAAGATGTTCCCACCCCTAACTCTGCATAATCAACATTTGTTTTTTAAAACGATCACAGAAAAGTAAGCTCGAATATTCGAATCTCTCACTGGTGGGCCTGGGCAGGACTCGCTCAGTCTCCAACATTTTTTTTCACCAGTATGCACGGCCTCCTTCCTCGCGGGAGGCGAAGGGGCGTTCCCCTTCCCGCAGGGTTCCTCTTTTCCTAGTTCTCCCTCTCCCGCCGCGCTCCTCCTCCCAGCCCCGCCCCTCTCCCCTTCCAGCCCCGCTCCTCGCCACCTCCCAGCCCCGCGCCTCTCCCCGCTGCGTTCCTCCTCCCCCGCCCGCCCCTTTTCACGCCCTGGCTGACCTACGAGGCCCCATACCCCGGAAAAGAGAGGGAAGGGTGATCCTTATAAATCCAGGCCAGATGGTGATGCTTTCTCTCCACCACCTCAGTCGCTCATTCAATAAATGGCGCATTGAACAGCCTGGAAGAAAACTTTTTCCCTCACAGGTCTTGTAGTAAATATTCCAATCATTTATACAAGTGGGGTATAAGGAAGAATCATTTATTGAACA